TATCGTTAAATTCAGAAAAAAACAAGGATTTTAAACGGCCCACAGCCAACTATGATTACCATTTAAAAACCATAGGTTTATTTTTTATCTCGTAAATCAAGTTGACTATGATAACGAGCGCTAGTTTATTGGATTCAACGCAAAAAGTTGTACTAAGGGCAGTTTTAACTTTTTTTCGAAGTTAAGCAGATTACGTAATAAGTGATAATGAAAGTATTGATTTCTTGTCTTTTCAGGATATTTCAGGAACCCACTCGGGTACCTAAATTTTGAAAACGATAACGAATAGACAATCGAATTCTGCCCATTTAACGGATTCTCTATCTTTAAAAATGTAGAAGTTACCCATACAAAGATTCAGAAAATGGCCACCCTGTATGTAAAATTACATATACTAGAAAATCCTGCAAAAATTACATCAACTCACCAAGCACCCTGTAGATTGGATTGGATCAACATAAACCTCACGCCTGTTAAGCTTTTATTTGGAAAATGCACAAAAAACAATAAATAAAATAACCGCAATTCACTAGCTTTTACAAATAATTTGCACTTGCAAGTATTGAAAAATGTCCTTGCTTAGGGGAATGTCTCGTAAATAGTCATTGAAACTCCTGCATATATTAAAAAGGCTTCTTCTAACTGCTGTAGTTACCGCGCCTTTCATTCTGTAGTTAAAGTCATCATATCCGACCATTTTCCTTGTAAGGGCTGGCACTTTATTCAGCTTGTCCAGGCTTTGCTTTAGTTGAACCAAACTAGAAATTATCACTGGTAGATCCTTTTGGACTATGCCGAACTTATCTTCGTCCAAAGAGGCGGCAATGATATCCGAAATGCCTTGCGAGGACCAAATAATTAAGTTACCATTTGCCAGGCATTTTCTAACGTTGGCTTGTGGCAGTTCACCAAATAGAAAGTTTACTCCCGTTATTAGTTTGAGGAAGTTCCAGATAGATTTCAGTTTTGCCGAAATGCCGTCCAGAACGTTTGGCTTAAAGGAGAATTCTACAGGAGCGCTCTTGGAAATATCAATATAACTATAACAGTCCTCGTCAAGTAAAGCCATATTCCTCAAATTCCTGAATTTATCCGGACCTTGAATTATCGGAGCCTGAATGATCGGTGGCACGACTTTCTTCTCGGGCAGATCGATGGTTTTATTCAACAATTGGGTATATTCAGTAACAAGCTTCAAAACATTCTCCACCAAAGAATTCCAATTATGTGGATGTCCCCCAGGGTTTGATAAAGCGAAGAAAGCTTGTCTCCTTACAGGCGACCATCGCGACAGCAAATGCAGATCTAAACAGGCCAAATTTTGCACAATTGGCCAATCATAGTTCGTGATGCTGTCTTGTAATGTTAAGCTTGTTCCTAACTGGGCATTAACGACTGGAAACTGCACTGGTTCTGTCAAGAATAAATTGAAATAAAACCTCATTAAATTCATATTGAAGTAGTAAAGAGCACTGAAGAACCACAGATGGCTGTAAATTAAAGCTGTGGGTCTCTCTTCACGGTCTAGCAATGCAAATGCGTCTTTAAAAATACTGGCAAGCAGGTCTCCAACGATGAAATATATCAAGCCAAAGTAGAATGACGGCCAGAAAGATAGATGTGCAGACTCACGGATTATCGGTCCCAATTGTGATTTCAATTGCAGAAACTTTCTCTGGTGGATAACTGGAAATGCTAGATTCTTCTCGGCGACATACACTTTAAGGAAAAAGTAAAATCCTGTCCACAGACCACTTAGAATGAGGAAAAACGATCCCTCGTTAAGGCAGTAAGCGTTTCCCTTGCATACCTCAGTCAAATTATTATATTGTCCATCGGATATGGACAAAAACAGCCAGGTCGAAGTGGCTCCAACTATAATGTGCAGCAGCAGTAAGATGATGTTGTGCAAGGAAAAGGCACGTAAAAACTTCTGGAATCTTGTTGAACAATATGACGATTTCACTACATAGTCTTTAGCACAAATCACGCACTGAGCAAAGATAATTGCCAGAAATGGCACCATGAAAATCCATGTGCTGATGGACGTCATGGTTCGAAACGTTCTTTGCATCCATTCTAGCGGATAAAACACGTTGGTGTTGAACAGGAACACGTAGAACTGCAATATGAACAGTTGGGAAAACACACTGGACGTTACAGCATAGGACAGTTTCCTGAGCAGCAAATCCTTGTAGGTACAAGCTTGTTCCATTGTTAGGTTAGAATTCAGTTCTGATTGTTCAGGATTTTACATATTAAGTGCACGGATAATTGATTTTTCAGCTTTTTAACGGGTTTTATCACTTGAAGGTCGGATGTGTTTTGATCACGCAAACTTTACACATTCGAGCACATTCAACGGCTTTTTTGCGGCTTTATTTTCGGAATTTCGGTTGACTTTTTAAACCACAGATAACAGACAGGGTGACCAGACAGAGAAATGGCAATGCCGCCAAATGTAGACTTAAAAATCGCCGGTTTTGGCGYCAAGTAAATTAAAACGGGGTAAACCAATAAAAACAAAKCGGAACGGTTTAAATTAAGCAAGAACTTTAGTTTTTCTRACAAGTTGAATTGAAATTATATATGTTTACTTGTGTGTCTAAAACATATTACTRAGAAATTGTCGGCAACATAAGCAAAAAATCGCCGCACCTKGTCACCCAGACAGTGGCACAAAATATCCCCCCTGGGTGTATGTTCTGTGGACCGTGGTGATTGGAACGTTTTGCTTGTAGGCACAGACTACAGAGTAACCTCCACAGAACATACCCCCAGGGGGGATATTTTGTGGTAACCTCTGTGATCTGTGCTTGTAGGTACAGCGGCAATAATAAACAAAACCCAGGAAAGCATGGCAGTGGCAAGTGTCAAACGTGGTAATAAAAAGCCAAAAAAGCGAGCAAAGAAAGTGAACCTGGTTTTTGACGAAGTCAAAAGAAGGTAAATATTTACATTGAAACAATCTGACAAATTACATGAAGCACATTGTAAATTTTTCCAATTCTAACCTCACTGTGTTATTTACAAGGGACTTTCTTACGGGCTTCCGCAAGCGAAAGCTACAAAGGAAGAAACATGCTCAAGAAAAACTGGAAAACGATCTCAAGGAAGAGCGGAAACGGTTGAAATCTGATGCCAAGGAATCGTACAAGAAACTGGTGGTGTCTCACAGAGACATTCCAGAGCTGGAAAAGTACCTAAGCAATGAATATGAAGAAGATGATGTTACTGTAAAAGTAGTGGAGCTCTCAACAAATGAAATAGCCAAGCAAAGCAATTGGATTGGTGCGAATCGGCCTAAGTACGAGTCGGACCAAGAAGAAGAGGTTAAGCCCGAGGATCCAGAGGAGATACCCGGCATGGAGCTGAAAGCTAAAACTCCTAAAGCAACCAAAGTGACGAAACCTAGTACCAAACAGTTCCATTCGGAGAAGCAAGTGAAAAAGGAACTGAAGAAACAGGCTACAAAAAACGTACAAAAAAGCAAGGTGTTCCAGAAGAAGAACAAAATGGAGCAAAGAAAACAGAAAAAACAATCCCTAAGGGCCAATAAGCTTAAGGAAGGAGCCAAGCAAAAGTTCGGCAAGAAGGGCAATAAAAAGGGTCGATTTACCAAAAGGAATAAAGACACCGATTAAATAGTATTAGTATGTTTTAAACGTTTTTTTTTTATCTAATTATTTTGCCTTGCTAGAAGGACAAATCGTCTTATTTAGGCACGACGAACATTGAGGATTAATTGGCCGGCAAATTTGTTGACCAAATCCTACTAACAAATGATTCACTTCGTTCCATAGGTCAAATGGCAGCCAACTTTCTAAAGCTTTTTCAGTTTGCTCTGGAGTTTTGGTTTTCACCCATCCCATCCTGTTTGCAATGCGATGAACATGTGTATCGACACCTAAAGTTAATGTTAATTCACATAATTCCAATTGAACCAGCATTCACATACCAATTCCTGTAACTTCGCCCCAAGCTACCTTCATGCAAAGATGTGCCATTTTTGGGCCAACTCCTGGTAACTTCAGCATATCTTCAATGGTGTTCGGTATATCACAGTTATATTGATTTTTCAATATTTCAGATGTTTTCTTAATATATTTTACTTTATTCTGGAAACTTCTCATTGATATATTGAACATAGAACGCAGCATGGGAAATCACTTACCCTCCAAAACCCCACTGGAATGATTAATTTGCCTAATTCCTCGTCAGAAGTATTCAGGATGTTTTCCACTGTGCAACCATGTTCCCGTAATCTGAGCATAGCAGCATGATTAACTTGGTCTTTTGTCTGGCTGCTCAACATCAAAGCTAAAAGAGCTTGATATCTTATCACCTAAAAAAAAATTCTGAAGACCATGCGTAAGAAATCCAAGCTGACTTACTGGAGGACTTTCAGTTTCATCAGAACACTTGTGGCAGCCCATTGTGTCCACTGGGGCGTCGGAGTCTTTACGCATTTCCCTCACATTATTTAGCATTGTTTCCCAATTCGGAGGCATTGTTTTGCTTGTTTTGGGATTTGAATCGGTCTCTTTTTCGGTGGATTCGATTGTAATATGTGCTCTTTTTGATGAAGGGGCTTTCCTTTTGGTAACTGCTGAAGCTTCGCTTTCGGGGTCGGCAACAATTGGCGCCAGCGTTGAATTTTCACTGCAAGCTGCAAGCTTTTTCTTTGGCTTCGATTTAAATTTTTCTAGATTGACGGGATGTTTTGTGAAGGTGGCTGAAATATCTTCACCAGAACTTTTCACCATCCTTCTAGTAATTCTTGTAGATACACTTTTACTTGCCATTATAATGAATGGACGTGCAGTGAGCGTATTAGAATCAGTTTACTGTTGTTATCAATAATTAATTTACTAAAGGCGACAACATAGAATGCGATTTACAATTAAAGTTCGGTTTACAAAAAATAACATACCGGACAAAAACAAATTCCTTCAAAAAACTGGAGAGGATCAAACCTCATCAAATAGTATGTAGTCTGTGGCTACTTGTGGTACTTGTCTTCATCTATGGTCTGTGGCACATAGAGAAAGTATAGAGAAAATAAAATAATTTACTCTCTGCTGTGGCATAGAGTAAGTAAAATTATTTTACTTTCTCTATGGTCTGTGGACCAAACACATTTCCACCATGAACCGAGCCTTTATTTATGCGCTTGCGTGAATCTGTCTATTTCATGCGGGGTCGTGAAGTTAGGCGCAAGCATATTTCTAATGCCCTGTTGCCACTAAAACTATAGTATAGTAAGACTTGCAATGTTCCAGTATATTATTTCAAATAATAATTTCTATTTTGATAATATTTTAGCCAATTTGGCGATAAATCGCCACACCTGGTCACCCTGATAACAGAGGTTACTGACTGGAATCTGTCAAATGAACCGAGAAAATTCTGTTTGGCGGCAGATTTCAATTTACTTGAAAAACGGCTCGTGTGAAAATTCCATTGCTTTTAATGTTGCGAGCAGAAGAAATAATTCATATATCATGATATGGCTTGAATGTGAACTTGTCCTTAAGGCATCTTGTGCACAACATATCGAGCTGCACGAACTGAAAGTTTCATTAAAATTGAGCAAAAGAAAATCATGCTAATTATTCCGCATTGCTTAATGGTGCGAGCGAAGAGAAATCATCCACAAATCATGTATCTGCTGAAGATACTGAATGTTTCATAAAAGACGACCAAAAAACTGATCCGAGAATAAGTTCATTCAGCAAATTATAAAACTTTATTTAACGAAACCGTTTTTAAAAAGCTTTATTTAATTTTAACAGCGAATAAGCTTACTACTTAATTCCACAAGGTGGTTACAAAGAATGAATGAATTATGTATAACAACCAAATGAAGTAAACGTAACTGCTGACACGTCAAATGCTGATGCCTGGTGTCTTCTTGGTATTCTGCTGATGCCTGGTGTCTTCTCGGTACTCTGGTTGCAAAGTCAGTTGTTATGGCTATGTAACTAGCATTAAAAATTTTAATACGCCATTTGATCGGATATCTTTAGCCGAAAAAAGTGTTAATAATCGAGTTGAAACGCAAAACTTTTCTTCAAAATAGTCAACAATAAAAAAACTGAAATCGAACTGCAATGCAAATAATACATGAATCATCGAAGGGATGATCAATTAAACGATCATATTGCTGGTGCCTTCGAAATGTGACAAAATCCTCGATAACGCATGAGTTTTTTTCTAAATGCTTACAAAAGATTCAGTTTGCTTCGGGCAACGAACGAAATTTTCGGTTTCTTGTGTCTTGCCAGGATATTCATATATTTTTTGTATAGTAATTTGGTGCTATGCCTCTAAAGAAAGTGCGGTGCTTCCAAAGCAAGTGCGGAAAATCATCCAGGCAGTTAACTGCAGGATTTAATGCAAACTTTCAATTGGGTGTCGACTTTTATTGTGTGTTCAAGTGCAGTGTATGTATTTTGAAAATTAAGTAATGGATATACAATGGATGATGGGGCGCCAGCTTACAGAAAGCTGGTAAGAAAGGATCTCTAATCTATAAATATCCCCTGGCTAGGCTTAAACTAAGTTTAAGCAAGGCAAAGTTTTTGGAAAAGCAAATGAAGTGTAGTGATGAAAGGCCGCAAATGAAGGCAAGGCCGAGACTTGGATGGTCTTGGTTTTGTTCTGGCACAAGGTCTTGCTTTTAAATAAAGCGTAAAATGAAACAAAAATAATTCAATGATAATAATAAAGTTCAAAGTTAACAGCTAATAATTATCACACAATAATGGAATTATCTGCGGTTGTTGGCGATTTGATTTCCGTATGATCTTCTTATTAATGGTAAAATCTGAAGTTTTCGGAAATAGAAAAATTTAAATTATTTTGTAATTTAAAATTATTCACGCGCACCTTTTCATTGTCTAAAAAGCTCCAGCCGAAGTCCTTACCCGAATCCGAATATATTTTCGGGCAGTATGATATACGTATTCTAACAAAAGCACAACAAATATGAGTTAAGGATTATATAATTTTACCTTTTGATTGGGCTTAGAATTGGGCTAATATCTTAAAGTAATCTGCCTGTACAAGAACATCTAAGTAAAAATATGACTAAAGATTATTAAAAAAACAAAAACTGTCCTAATTAAAAAATATTTACGTTTGGGCAACATTTATTCGTTTCCTTTTCATTTGAATTTTTACAAATATATCTATCCTCAATATATACTAATCAAATACGAACTTTGAATGAAAATAAGTTTTCTTCAAATTTTCTATATATAAAACGGGGACACTCACAGTCTAAAAGCGCATAATATTTACTAGTTATCTTTAAACAAAAGCTCGTCGTCGTGCTATACAGCGAAACTTCATTTTCATTCTTCATGTGGAACAGGGAAGAACGATTATTTTCGTAGTTTTCTTCCCGGGCCACATAATGTAATCAATGCCACCCTTCTGGGTGTTTTCAACGCGGAACTCTGACTTTCCGCTTTTTTTGCACTTTCTTTCTTATCATCTAAATCAGACTTTTCAAGGTGTTTCTCATTGGATCTTTGTGGATCAGTAGTCCGTTCCCTGCACTCTTGAGACTCTTCAAGCTGTAAACAAAAGTCTTCAGTTTTATCGTCATCTGTACTTTCGTCTATTTTTTGGGGAGTTCGGGCTTCTTCATTAGCCACATGACACGACCAGGCATCTCGCGCACTAATTTCTTCTATTGGCAAAACCATGTGAGATTCTTTAGGAACTTGCGCTTTCTTGGTCGCCTTTTCAGATGATTGTTTCAGAAAACTAAGTAGCGCGTTTTTGGCTTTCTTAGGCCTTACTTCTGGTGTACTACAGTTCACCATCCGAGATAGTTTGATTTTTAAAACCGGCTCCTTTTTCTGTGCCTTAATTAATTTAGCAGACTTTTTCTTTATAGGTGTGATATTGCATTCATCGTCCGACTCCAAAGAAATTATGTCAACTGGATTTTGGTTAGTTGGTTTTGCACTTACAACCTTTTCTTCTGTTTCAGCAACCATTGCTGGAAGATTCTGTTGACTAACATTAACTTTCATAGGTGACTCTAAAATTTCGAAAGCTTGAGCTTTGGCCCCAGGACTAGCCACATCCTTCTCAATTTTCCTCTTTTTTGGAGTTTTCAAGGCCCATTGCTCTAAAAAGCTGGGTCGTTTTATCGATTCTTCTTTGTGCTCCTTTTTTGCTGCATCATTCTTTTCGCCTTTATTTACTTCCTTATCAGCGATATCGACATTTTCATCCTTTTCGATTAGTTCCTGACAGGCACTGACCTCCAAAAGATTTTCCTCAATCTCTTCTTCATTTTTTACCCAAGCTGTGCCAAGTTCGTTTGGTTCGAACGTGATTAGACTGCAAAATCCATCAGTGGAGGAAGCGATCAGCAGTAAACCATCCTGGGACCAAGTCAGATCAGTGATTCTAGTATAATGTATTTCTTGGAACCGCGCAAATGGTAACTTTTGTTGCGTATCATATAAAATAATATCATGATCAGTCCCTACGGCAAATATCATTCGGTATGGTAGCTTAATTGTTGGAGCAGGGCCTTCTTCTTTAAGTTCAAATAGAATTGGGCAGCATCTGACTGCCGTACTGCTTTGCCTTGGCAAAGGAAGAATAACCGCGGGTCTGTAAAGGAACTGATATAGTCAATGTTCTTACATTGTACGCATTATACTTACGAACAGAGATTGTCAATAGCGAAAATCAATGTAGAGTTGAGGGCAGTTTTACAGTTTTCGGCCTCGATGAAGCCTGAAGGCACTATTAACAGTGAACCATCAGGAGTAAATTGCAACCTTCTAAAGAACGACTTGAACGTGTCATCGTGGAAGTACTTTGCATCTTTGTCTTTTAGAAAATGACCTTCTGGAACTATAAGAGATTTTCTGTATATTTTAGTTGCTTAGTAAATATGTAAATTATCCTTACCTGCAGTGATTTTTCCTTTTTGTATTCTGGCTTTAACATGTTTGCCTGTATTATCAAATATCCTACAAACTCTATCGGTACTAATCGTGGCAAGTATTTGATTTTTTGGATCCCAGGCAACCCCCTAAAAAGCATGAATTTATTAATTATTTGTAGATTTTTTATATAAATCGCTGGTAGCTTCATTTATTCATTGCAAGCTTAGAGGGTTAAAATCAAGTAAGCTATACCTGGACAAACCCTTTGTGATCAGTTAAAATATGGTCGATTTTTCCTTTGTTTAGGTCCCATAAAATTGCTGTATTATCAACACTTCCAGATAACAGTTTTAGTTCATCTATTGACCAACATAAGTCATAAACATCTTCCTTGTGGCCTCTCATAACTTTGTAGACAGTCCATGTCTCTTTATCCCCTGTTTCGCCTTAATAAATGAAACAATAATCAGTCATTATTCACTAAATAAGCCGCTTAAAGGTTTTCATTTCGGTTACACCAAATTAATGGGCAAAATGTACGAGAAACAAGATTTCGTACCTTCCAGCAATGGAATGCTATCAGTCTTAAGTTGCCAAACAATAATGTTGGCATCGTCATCTCCTGAAGCTAAGTACTTTCCCGAAGGAGACCATCTGACACAGTTTACAGATCGTTGATGTCTTGTAAGGTCCGAAATTAGGTCTTGGTTTACTGCACCATTTAATGCAATGGTCATTTGCCATATCTTGAAAATGGGGTTTAAATAGTAAATGTTTTCTGTTTTACACACAGTTTAATAACATTGTTAAATATACGGTCAAGATTTTATACAACGTGTTTCGTGAAAAAGGAACATTACTTCGTATATAACAACGTATTCTATTCTATTCTTTTTGGTTTTAGCATTATTCTTTTTGATCTAATTGAATACAACCATAACATGAACGACACCTTAGAATTAGAATACATCTAAATATCTGCTATTGATTTCACTTTCAGCTTTTGCTGGAAACTTCTCTATCAGTCTTAGGGTGCAGTGAGAAGACTTAAGGAGGAAACGAGCGAGCTTGATTTGCTTCCGCCAGAACAGTTTGGATTCCGAGGAAAGCATTCCACGGAACTTTAGTTGCTCAGGAGAGTAGAAAGATGCACCAAAGAAAGGAATCAGTACCGAACGACTGGAATACTCACACTGGATGTCGAAAGAGCGTTCCACAGAGTGTGGAGAGACGGTCTCTATTATTAACAAAAAACTGTGCCAGTTAATAGACAGTTATATTTGCAGAAGGAGCTTCAGCGTCAAAGTTGGAGACTTCCAACTTTGACCGGTCAGAAACCAGAAGTACTGAGGCAGGAGTACAGCAAGCAGCAGCGCTCTCCCCACTGCTATACAACATATACACAAGCGACATCCCAAGACCTGCCAATACGACCCTGGCACTCTTTGCAGATGATAGGGCCCTTCTGACATCCTCATGGCGCAAGGACTACATCAGGCAACAGCTCCAGCTTGCAATTGACGAACTACATCAGTGGTTCAAGTGGAAGATGAAGATAAATGCAGAGAAGAGCCAGGCCATACTTATTGGCAGGAAGCAGGACAGTGTCGATGGCAACATAGAGGGACAAAACATCGAATGGGAAAGAGATACTAAATATTTGGGTCTTGTTTTAGATAAGCAGCTGACCTGGAAGAAGCACATAAAAACAGCCATCGACAAGGTTAAGGCAACAACTGCCAAGTTGTACCCATTCCTCAATCGAAGAAGCCAGATGAGTAGTAGGAACAAGCTACTCCTCATCAAGACCATAATCAGGCCGACACTGGCGTATGCCTCCACTGCGTGGGGATATGCATGAATAGACTTCAGGCCACAGAAAACGGACGGAAAACTTCTGCGGATGGCCGTAGATGCGCCCTGGTTTGTTAGGAACTCCCAAATCTACAGGAATCTGAAGTGGGAGCTACTAAGAGAGTTTCTCGCAAGGAGAGCGAAAGCAGACTTTGAGAAAGCTAAAGACACTCCAACGAAGAGCTGCGAAACGTTACAATCCTGAAGATCTGGGACCCAGGAAAAAAAGGCGTTAAATTAATAAGATGCCCAAGCTAACAAGCAGCTAGCATGGAGAAAATGCGATGCTATGGCATACGGATACCGAAGCAGACAAATTCTTAGAGAGGACTACAAGTTTGAAAGGATAACTCCCGAAAACCCGTAGTACAAAAAGGGGGTTTTTTAGTTGGTAAGAATCCGACACTACCCAGGGTTAGGAACACTTGGCGTCTTTGCCCGCCGGGCAAACAAAAAGAAAAAAAAGGGGGGCATTGATCCGTTACAGCAAGCAGCCTGTACCCTGGGCTTTGATAAGTTAAGATTCATGCTTCTGCGTGATCATAGAAATGATCTTTTCATATATAAGTAGCTAGATATTACTTATCGTGTACATCCCCAGCACACATAAGATATCGGCCAATAAGTAACAGTAAATTGGAAGAAACTAAGTACAAACATGGTAAAACTTTTCAATTACCTTACATTTGAAAAATTGTTGCACAAAGGCTTTAGTGATAGAAAATAGCAAAACCAAACATATATAAACGTAGTAAAAGCAACTAAACAGAAAATAAAATAGGATTATTTACTCACCAATACATGACAATCACCACCGCCAGAAGCTAACCTGTAAAACTGCCCATTTTCTGGAAAAATATCCACTGAAAACACCGGCTCTTTATTATGCCACGATATTTCCGGAATCGTGCACTTCATATTCGAGCGAGTAGCACCTTGATGGCGGGTAAAACTATTCACTTATGTGGAAACAACAAAAATAAAAGACTATTAAATAAATTAGTGTTTTAACCGGTTGCCGCCAATACATTGTTCTTCTGTCAGATTTTGTAGCACTGCTAATTAACAACGTTGCCAGCATGTATTTGTAAACTTGTTAAATAAAAATACAATTGGAAATTAGACATACACCCATTTTCTCTTGATCTTAATATATTCCTATTATTTAATTCGATTTTTTTTCTTACATAGTGTTCCATTTCAGTTTAACTATACATACATACAGCTTGATATATTTAACATTATTTTATAGTTTATTTAAGTGTTCCTAAGCAATTCAGTGTCAAATGTTGATAACCAGAGACAAATAATAACTTATATGAAATAATAGTTCGCCCTTGTCTGTTGATAACTACTTGAAATTCACGGTCACAAGTTCAAGTAATTTCCTATCATGAACCAGCATAATTTAATTAAAACAAGTACATTGGATGGCATATAGCTCGCAGTATGGGTGATAATAAGTATTTAACTCGACAATAAAACGGTGATAAATAGTATTTTTTTATTTAAACTGAAATGAACAACAAGAACATAATATAAAATGAATCATTTTCAATATATAACACCTAAAATGCAGGAAATAGGAACGATTCCTAAAAACAAAGAAATTCTCAATACCACCAAAAAGAACAGTGCATCTTAACGTAAACTACCAGTGACTTGATAAATCTAGTTGGGCTGTGCAAGGCCAATAACTGCACAGGCCAACCTGCCACCAGCATTGCCAGTGGTTTTGCTCAGCTCATGTCCCCCCTTGCCCAAATCATCAGGGTCTGCATGCACAACAACTGTGCGTCCAATAATGCTGTTCGCTCCACTCAACGAAATCTGCTTGTCCGTGATGTTGATCTTAGCGACTCCTTCAGCATTGGCCTCAATGTTTCCTAAATCTCCAGCATGACGGTCAGCGTCAGTTGGGCCTCCATGTTCCTTGTCGTTGGGGTTGAAATGGGGCCCGGCTGATATGCAGCCATTGGTGTTGTCCCCGAATTCATGAATGTGGAATCCATGCAGGCCTTCTTTGAGACCGCTCAGCGATCCATTTACCTGCACCGGATTGTTGCCTTCCTAGATAGTTTGGAAAAAACATTAATTTTTTATCTGGAACCTTCTACCGGGTGGATTTGATGCTTAGATGAAAATCTCACCTGGGAAAAGAAGACGGTTCCATTGACCACTTCGCTTTTCAACACGGCAACGGCTTTAACCATTTTGGAAACTTTGCAGAGGTTTGATTAAATCACTTGCACTTTTTAAGTCGAATGCAGGAAAAATGGCGTCAGTTCTAGATTGTCAGGATGACTGGACCAATTTATTATCGAATTATGAATTATTCTATTTACTCTATGGTGGAGGAAGTTAGAAGGGAGCAGGTTCAAGTATCTGGCCATCTTTGTTCTGACAATGGGTAAGACAATAACGTCACCAGATCCGATTGGTTACAAATGTGCGGAAACTTTCTTCTTCCTTTCAGCGTTTCCATAGCATTTTTGACTTGACATTGTCAATGAAGCGAACTACAGAATTGTTTGTGTGAAAACCAGTAGTCAGACCAATTTGTTAATAATTTGTCTCAACTTCGTGTTTAGGACTGAACCGAGCAGCAAACTACAAGATGGTATGTTGTTTAGGTTGTTGTTAAGGTTCTCAATATGTTTTGAGTGCGATAAAAGCCCCCGATTCTTCAATAATTGCATTTTCAAACTCAGGTGTGTCAAACCCGGCTTGCACGTGCAAGAGAATCCATTGCAAAAATCAGGTTTTTCTCGAATTTTCTTATACGCTTTGGTAGTAATTTACTAGCAATGTTTCAGTTTGATGTTCTCTCTCAATTAGAGCTGTAATTTACAATGCATTATTCACATAGGTACATGTAACGTTAGCAAGGCAAAATATGAACTGTTGTGGGCATAAACTGCAACTGCTTGAGTGAAATACCGAAATTATTCAGTTATATGAATGAGTCACGCATTATGGCCCAAGAAATTGTCTATTAACTGAAATCTTCTTAAATCTGACTTAAAAGTCAAGTGTAACAACTCATGTCCAAAAAAGGAGCAAACATTGGACAGTAGTTGGGGTCCCCAAATGAGGGAAATGGGAGAAATCACTACCCAAAAGATTAGTGCTTTATTATCGTCATTAAAAACATGAATGGTAATTTTTGAAGCACTTGCGTTCTACACACCATAATGTAGTCTCTTTTTACTTTTTGTTGGCGTTGTGTACAAGGGCGGATCCAGGGGGGGTCATGGGGGTCATGACCCCCCCTTCTAATCAGTTCTCTATCCAACGATGCCAAAACGAGTTCTGTGGCTCGAATGGTTCTTGACAAACTTCGAAAAAAGCAGCGTCATGTTCAAGTGGATTTTGCAACTCAAAAAAAAACCACGCAAATCTAAAACTTCTTGAATTCAAGCATTTTTTGAAAAAACTGCCAACACTTCCTTATCGATGGTTCACTTTCTAAAATGGCCATTTATTTCTGACTAGAATGATGCACACATGAGCGTTCTAGCTCATTTTGCCTCCGAGAAATGAGCAAAAACGGGACGGAAAATATGGAATTTTGGTATAATCTTGCACCGAAGTGTCTGATATTCAAATTTCGCTTTCTGGGTCAAAACTACTCGAATTTACTCAGTCACGTTGTTACGACTGAAGCAAGTTTTCAATTCTCTATCCAACCATGCCAAAACGAATTCTGTGGCTCGAATGGTTCTTGAGAAACTTCGAAAAAAGCAGCGTTATGTTCAAGTGGATTTTGCAACTCAAAAAAAAACTACGCAAATCTAAAACTTCTGGAATTCAAGCATTTTTTGAGAAAACTGCAACATTTTCTTATCGATGGTTCACTTTCTAAAAAGGCCATTTAATTCTCTCTGGAATACTGTAAAAATGACCGTTCTTTACTCATTTTGCTTCCGAGAAACGAGCAAACGCGGGACGGAAAACATGAAATTTTGACATAATCTTGCACCTAAGTGTGATATTCAAATTTTGCTTTCTGTGTCAAAACTACTCGAATTTCCTTACTCACGTTGTTACGACTGAATCGACTTTTTAATTCTCTATCCAACGATGCCAAAACGAATTCTGTGGCTCGAATGGTTCTTGAGAAACTTCGAAAAAAGCAGCGT